TTTCTCCCAGCTTTGAAAAATTGCAAACCTTGAGTTGTTTCCCTTTCATTATGAAAGATATACTATGGTCATCCTTGAGAAAAATATTTTTATTGGCGTCCGCGCCGAAGCGCGGCGCCTTTTATGGAATGAAATCAGATTTTGTGAAAGGGTTACAGCAACTTCTCGAACCTTTTAGTCGGACATGATAAAAGCCGATCATTCCGATCGTTATGAGGGTGCTTGATTATAATGTCGCGATATATACAATGAATAGCGAACTGGAGAATTTTTTCGCAAGCAAACATTTTCAAATTTGAAATAACCCTTTTCCGTTTAATAAATCGCGGTCTTCGGGGGGGGGTATTTTTATTCATCTTTTGATGCACGTTGGTTATTTATGGTAATTTGTTACATGTTCCCTTCCGAAAGCGGAAATAGAATGATGAGTTGGACGGACCTAAAAATTCCGAAAATCTATTTTATTAGAGGGATGTACTCTTTCGGGTAATTCTCGCGTCTCTCCTTGGTCTATTTTTGGTGACCGGCGAATAGTTTACCAACGTTTATTGTCCTCTTCCCGTTTTTGGATTTCGTTAAACCAGAACAGAACAAATTTTTTAAGATAAATAAGCTTTTTTTCAAAATTAATGTTTGTCACTTAGTTTGGGTTACAATAATTAATAAAACAGATCAACCCTCTCAAATTTTTATATTTTATTATACAAAACATACAATTTCGGGAAAAAAAAACACAACAAGCAAATGCATGTTTTATTTTATCTATTAGGTTGAAAACAATATGTTACAAATAATTGAGAGAAAATGTACATTTTTTATGGATTGATATGACACTATCAAACTTTGAAACATTTTATTTAATTTGTTATTTCGTGTTTTAGTAAAGATTCCGAGGAATTATTCAAAGTTACAATATTAGATAATTGATTGATTATTTAAAAAAATGATAAAGAAAAAGTACAAATGTACATTATATGGTTTAAAAGAATAAAACAATATTAATTGAAAATTAACCCATAATTTACTGACTTTTTTCCAGTTAAGGGTTTTGACTTTTAATCGGTCGGTCAAATGACAATTGAATTCTTTAAAAAAATAGTAGTAAACGTAAAAAAAACTCAGTATTAAAATAGCACATAAAACACAAAAAACAAGAAAAGAAAAAAATATTCCATAAAATCGTTTTTTTTTTTTATTAAAATATTAGGTTTACAATAATTGTATTAATAAAAATTATGCTCAAGCATGATCCAAATGGTAATATAACCAGTTCATATTGTTATAGAAATTTATTTGAAATCTATGAAATTTCTTACTTAATAGTGTCTAATTTGGATTTAAAGAATGAAAAAACTATGCATGGGGGCAGTCATTCCCTTTACATAGGCCAAGTAAAGTTTGGTCTTTTCATATAAAAAAACAGCCAGTTTTTTTAGCCACCTGAGCATGTTAGGGTGAGCTTTTAGGACGATGATTGTCCGTCGTTCCGTCGCCGTCCACATTTAAGTTTTCCGTTAACACTCTAGCACGTTTTCGCATTTATTTCCTCAATCATCATGTAACTTTGTCAGAATATCTGTCTTAAATAATATCTCGAGATTGAGTTCGGATCCATGTTGTGACCTCCGATTGAAAAAACTAGGGTTCAGGAGCTAAAAATAGAAAAACTTGTTAACACTCGTAGTGGCAGCAGTTTTTGATCCAAAATATTCTGGAAATTTTCAGGAAGGGTGTTTTGATGTTTTTCTAGGTCAACTTTGAAGATGGTAATCTCCGTCCCAAAAACTAGGTCACAGGAGCTAAAAAATAAAAAAAAGCTTGTTAACACTCTAAGTGCTGCAGTTTTGACTCCAAATATTTTGGAAAAATCTGTTCAGGAAAAGGTGTTTTGATGATTTAGGTCAAGTTTCTGAAGATGGGTAATCTCCGGTCAAAACTAGGTCACAGGGAACTTTAAAAATAGAAAAAGATTGTTAATAGTCTTAAGTGGCTGCAGTTTTCATTCAAAAAATATTCTGGAAATTATGTCAGAAAGGGGTGTTTTGAAAGATATCCTTAAGTAAAGTTTAAAAGATGGGTCATGGTCCAGTCAAAACTAGGTCACAGGAGCTAAAAATAGAAAAAGATTGTTTAACACTCTGTGGCTTGCAGTTTTGATCCAATTACCTGGAAATTGGTCAGGAAGATTGTTTTGATGATTTCTAAGGTCAAGTTTGGGAATATTTGGGTCGTTCTCCGGTCAAAAAATTAGGTCACATTGCCAAAATAATGGAAAACCCCTTTTAACACACTAGAGGTCACATGTTTCACCTCAGTTGTCATCAAAATTTGGCCAGGATGCTTGTCGTAAAGGACATTGCTTGGATGCGGTTGAATGGGTTAGGGGAGCATCCCAGGGCCATCAGTGGCCCCTCTTTTTAAATAAACTTTATACCTCAATTACTTTGACCACCTATTTGTTGAAGTTTACAACATAAGATAATTCTACTTTGTGTGAAGTCAAAACACATTTATTTTATCTTTATAAAGATTACTGTGTATCCATTTCAAAATTTTCTAATATTTAAATTTTATCATATAATATCTTTAAAACTATAATTTGAAGAAATGCCATGGCCTGAGGCATTTAAGTTTGAGCGGCCCGTTAAAGGGGCCAATCAATAATATGAGAAACTTGATAAAAAAATACCTTTAAGAATGCTTATGTAGACAAAATTTGGGTGATCATCCTCAATTTTATTCTGGTAAAAGCAGAAGTTTTAAAAATTTTCTAATTTTTAGCTTTAAAGGGGCCAAACAATAAGTTATAAGCAAACTTATAAAAAACTACCTAAGAATGCTACAAGGACAGTTTAGTGATTATCCATGAATAATTTCAGAAGGAGATGATGTTCAAAGGTTTTTTCTATTTTTAGCTTTAGAGGCCCCTAAAGGGGACTAATCAAATTAATATGGCAAACTTGATAAAAGACTTCCTTAGGATGCTACAGACAGATGTATAAAGGTTTTCTTTTTTAGCTCTGTTGACCCCTACAATTGGGCAATTGAAATGATATGAGCAAATTTAAGTGTGACTGTCACAAGGTAACTACAGGCAAAATTTGAGGAAATTCCTTATCAAATTTTAGAAAAGAAGAATTGTTAGTATGTCGAGAAGCAGGGTATCCCCCTTTGATTCTTAAGCTCACCCCGAACCCTTAAAGTTCTGGGGTAAGCCTAAAAAACATTCACATATTACAAATGAAAACCTTTTTGGTTTCACAATTTATCAAGATAAGATGTTTAACAATCAATATTTTAAGGTGTTTACTAAGTATTTAAATGTCTAGATCGTGAGAGATAAGAGAATTTTCATAACTACATTTATGACCGTAACTAAATCCTTAAAAGTTAACTATTCAAGGTGATTGTAATTCATAAAATAAGAGAAGAAAAACGATTGATTATTTAAAAGAAGTTACTGTATTTACTTGATACGACAGTTTTAAAGTGATTGTAGGAATAAAAAATCTTTGTTTAATATCGCTGTGATAAGAAAGGACATTTTTTTTTAACTTCATGTGTTGTATAGATCAACTAAGTAAAACCGGGGTTTCCCACAAAATTATTTATGAAATGGCTAACGGTGGAAAATATTATGATATTTTTTCTGATTGAAGATATTTGATTGTACTTTGGGTTCAATGTGTAAAAAATGGGGTAAAAATTTCCGAAGGTGAAAAATTCTGTGTAGACTGTCATTGTTATTTCTTGTATAAAATTGTGGAAATTCACAATCAAGTACCTGTTTAGCCATCAAAGGTGTTGGGATAAATTTCTCTGGTTTAAGGGTCAATAACCAGTAAAAGGCTACCGAGGGGACCAACAGGAGAATATTGGGGACAACAATTAATAAAACACTTGATAATGTACTGTTCAGAATTCGATGAATAAGTATTGGGTTTTCTACATGTATGGAAAATTGATCACAGGTTAAATGATTAGCATTAATTATCCGTTTTAACGTTTTTTTTAAAAAATAGTTATAAGAAGTGTACTTGGGACCTTTAGCGCTCTAAGTCCCATCCTATTCCCCCCCCCCCACCAATAATGTGAATTTGTTTTAAATAATCTTATGATTCATTTTCAACAGCACGTAACTCAAAAATGTGGTTACCCAAAACGAAAGATGGTGCCCCCTTATTTTCTTTCCATGATATCAGTAATAATTTTCTTAATTCATGAAAACTTTTAGACAAGTCTATGCATTAGTAAACATGTTTCTACCTTGCCTATGGAAAAATTCAGTATAGAAGAAACTGTCTTAAACTTACTTATGCCACCAGTTTACAGCCAGACAAGCCAGTAAATATAGATTACATTCAAACTAACAAACTAACTATAATATTTTTTGTAAAATATATCACCTTTTATTAGTTTCGGATTGTTCCAAATTGAAAGTTAATCATCATTCTTAGGTAAACAAAATTAATTAATCAGCGTAATAAATTCATCATTTTGCCAGGTGATAGGTAATAAATTAATCAATCTGCAAGATAATCAGATTAATTTTTAATCAATCTTTCCTCTCCGATGCCTAAACAGACTCAATTCTTTTTATTTTCAGATCATGTGAGGATATATTCTATATACCAGAATTCATCCAAAACAAATCTTACCAAATGACTCCAAGAAAAATTCAAACAAAGCTGAAGGCATTAGCCAAGACCCTTGTTGTACAAGGTAACAAATTTCAACAGGATAAACAAAGCCTTCTGAAAAGAAAGGCTGAGTTACTGGACGATTATCAGAAAATTCCGACATGAAATAAATGACAACTTGACAAGCGGAGAAAATTCTTAGATGAGATAGAAAATAAATTCAAACTTCTTGAAGCCAAGATTGAAGAAGGTCTCAAACAGCTACAAGCACACAAAGCAAAGGTTACATCAGCTAATGTAATAAATAGCATCTCCAAACTCAAATCAAGCTGAATTGTTTGTGCATGAAGATGGGGGAAAATGCTGAAAAATGTTGCCAACAAATTTATAGAAGATACCAAAATGAAGATTACAGTAAGTGACATAAAGTTTCAACCTGACAGAATACTCCTTCAACAGCTGAAACAATACAAATTAATTGGCATGCTAACTGAGAAAAATATGAAGACATCTGACATGTTGCTTCAGATAAAAGGAGGACAATCATACTGTATCAAAGTTAAGTCTGATGAACAAAAATGTAATATCTCCAGCGCCTGCTATATGGAAGGTGGAACACTAATCCTAGCTGATTACTCCAACAAAAAGCTAAAACGATTAGATAGTCACAATTATACAATAACCGGCTGCTATGATATACCTGGACAGCCATGGGAAATATGTAAAAATAATGAAACTCAAGTAGCAGTAACATTACCCTCCAAACAGGAAGTTCATTTCATTTCTGTAGACAGACAAATGAAAACAACAAACAAAATTAAAACTGAATTTTATTGCCGTGGTATTGCCTATGGCAACAATCATTTATATATTTCAGACTTCACGTCAGTCTATATCTACACAATGACTGGCAGGAAACTTGCACTGATTAGTACTGACCACTCAGGACAGGAACTGTTCTCTAGCATAAACAGTCTAGCTGTCGGTAAGAATGGTACAAGGCTTTATGTTGCTGATGATAATAAAGGACTGATAGTACAAGACCACAATGGTCAGATTATTACAACATTTAATGGTAAACAACTACAGCCAGCTTCATATTGTCATCTCACTGATGCAGATAGTGTGCTGGTATCTGGATACAACTCCAATAATGTTTTACAGTTTACATCTGATGGCAAGCTGAAAGGAGAGGTCATAAAAGATGACAGTGGAAAACAAGGAATAAACTCACTTTGTTGTAATCAGCAAATGTCTAAGATGTGTATAAGCAGAGGAAGTGAAGACAATATTGAAGTGTATGATATCTGATCAGTTAAAGGGTATAAAGCTATTATATCTTATGAAATATTTCTGTAAAATTCAACAACAGCAAAATAATATTGTTTCCATTTTCTTATAATCGATTATTGAAAAAGTTGTAAAATAAAATGTCTCTGTTATTTAACACACAATTGATATGATACAAGCATTATGGATTTGATTCTTTTTAAAAATTCAAACAGAAACTTTTGAAGCGGATATATTGCTTTAAACACTTTAAGTAAAATAAAAACAACAATCATGGTATCAATGAAGAGTTATTGTAAAAAAATGGTAATCAGTGTGTGACAAATGTAAATGATAAACTTGTTATTGAAGGGAACTGGTAATTGTTATTTAATATAAGAATAACTCTTCAACATAAAAAATAGGACAATCATGAAAAATAGTGTGACATGAATATACATGTCCAAGTGAGCTACAAAATTGTTGTATACTCAAACATTCTTTATACATTATACAAGTTACCAAGGTGATTCGAGAGTATGACTTTATATTATAAATGAACTTACATTTATAAGTGAATAACATTTTATCTATTGTATATATTTTACATAAACATAAAGTGAATGACAGGCTTTTTTTATATTCTCAAAGATAATCTTTGTTTATCCTATTCAAATTACCCAAGATGATAATTTGAATTTGCTTCAAATATTGAAATGAAGCGTTTTTTTATAATTCTATAATATGTATCGACTTATTTCATTGTTCAAAGTTTTATATTGTGCATTGTAAATATCATATACATGTACTAAGAAAATGTTTATATCTACTTTACATGAAGCCACATTGTATAATGGCAAATCAATTTTCAACATATATTTATTTTTATCTCATCTGTTTTACAACCAAACTTCGGCCCTGTGTACTATGTATGGGAAAATAGAAAAGTAACAAGGTTATAGATTGAAAAAGGGCAAATTTATTTATTTGCCTTGAATGTTTAAACAAGTAAATATAACTATGGCAAATTTATTTATTTGCCATGAAAGTTTATATTTATTTTTATACACAATTTTTTTTTATTTTAATGGTTTTTTTATGCTTAAATGGTATTATACTGCTTGTATGTAAATTATGTTGCAAGAACAAAAATCTGTGTAATTGTAGATGTTTATCAAACAAGAAAATTAGTATGTTGCACAAAGAAATTTACTCAATAAACAAATTATCTGAAACAATATTAATTACTTTGTTGTTGTTATATTTTCTGAAACAATCTTAATTACTTTGTTGTTATAGTTATATGGGTACTTTCTAACTTTAATGATGGAAAAAGTATTAAGACAAGAGCCCGGTTTGAGCCGGGTGATGCTCCCCGAATAGGTTTTGGACACAGGAAAGTACATCTCTTGTAGTTTCAGTGTTATGTCCCTGGAAAAAGTTCAAAGTACAATAACTCCAAAATTAGGCAAGGCAGAGTTATGATTCTTGTGCACTGCACATCTACCCATTGAGATATATCTACCTACAAAGTTTAATGTTGATATCGCCTATAGTTTTACAGCTATGTCCTGGACTAGTTTTTCTAAAAGGGGAGATAATTTAAAAATGAGGCTTAGCAGAGTTATTGTTCTTTTGCACTGCACTTCTACTCAATGAGATATATCTACCTACAATGTTTCATGTTTATATCTTTTATAATTTTGGGAGTTATGTTCCGGACAAAGTTCAAATAGTTAAAATTAACAAAGGGCAATAACTCCAAAATAAGGCAAAAAAGAGTTATAGTTCTTGTGCACTGCACATTTACCCATTGAGATCTATTTACCTACAAAGTTTCATGTTGATATCTCTTATAGTTTTAGAGTTATGTCCCGGACAAGATTTTTCTAAAAGGGGAGATAATTCAAAAACCGGGCAAAAAAGAGTTATGGTTCTTTGACACTGCACTCCCCCTCAATGCCCTCTACCACTGTATGAAGTTTTATTTGTTTAAACAAATTATCTCCAAGGGGTTTCAATTATGCTCCTGACAAGACAACAGACGGACAGAAGGACAGACGGACGTACCAATTTTTCAGGTTTATGAGCTATTTCTATTGTTCTTTTCTTTTGTTTCCTTGTGGGCTAACTATTGTTTCCTTATGAGCTAACTATTATTTATGGAATGAAGTCCTTTGTTCTCTTTTGTCCCAGTGTACCGTTAGTTAGCTCATATACCTAAAATGTTTGTGCGGACGGACGGACGGGCAGACGGACAATATGGTGACTATATGCATAATAAGGTTTTTAGCATTTTTAACATGTGAAGGTACTTACGTAAAACTCCGCTGACCGTATGGAATTAGGTAGATCCTGAACAGAACCCACCCTTCTGAAAGCTGCATTTACTCAGCCAAAATGAAAACTTTACACACTAAACATCTTTATTATTTGAATATAGATAATCTTACAAAAACGACACGTTCTTTAAATCGAGACTCTCACACAGGTGTGCCTCGCCCGATCTGCGCGATATTATCAATTTTCGGCTTTTTTAACACTGCCCACGTGTTTTAAAATCGCTGTTCAATCTGATTACAGGGAATTGCTTATTAATGATCAAAACCAAGAAAATCAATTTGTTGTGTAATTTAGAAGATTCTCAGCAATGCCACGGCTGTCTGAAAATCAGAGAAATCAGACGATTGGCATGCTGCATGCCGGTGCATTGGTAATTAACTTTGCACTTTGGGTGCTCTCGACAGACTATCCATAACCTTGCAAATCGCTTTGCAAATACTGGCTCCGTCAATGATCGCCCAAAGTCAGGTAGAGAACGTGTGACGTCTCGTAGAGACGACCGCGCCATAACATAAGCTCATTTACGTGATCGTTTTAATCCAGCAACCTTAACTGCCAGACGTCTAGGAATTTCTGCAAAGACCATCCTACGCCGTTTAAGGCAGTTAAACAGTCCTCTCCGTGCCAGGAGACCTTACATTGGGCAGATTTTAACGGCATGTCACAGGGCCGCTCGGTTGGCATGGTCAAGGCATCATCAGCACTGGAGGCGAAACCAGTGGAATAATGTTATTTTTTTCCGATGCATAACGTTTCAGGGTCTGCTGTGCCGATGGTAGAGTAAGGATTTACCGTCGCAGAAACTAGAGATCTGCTCAATGTGGTATCAAGTAGAGAGACAGGTTTGGTGGTGGCAGTGTCATGGTCTAGGGTGATATAATGGGAAACGAAAAGATAATTATTATTCATGGGAATCTGAATGCACCGGGTTACATTAATGTTCGGAGCAATTATCTCCCATTCATGCAGAATCATGGCCCTCACGTTACGCTGCACCATGACAATGCTAGGCCTCAAACTGCCCGAATAACCACACAGTTCTTAGCTCAAAACAACGTCAACGTCCTGCCCTGGTCTGCAATCTTCCAAAATCTGAACCCTATCGAGCACATCTGGGATAAACTTGGATGCAGGGTAAGAGCAAATCACCAAGTAAACAACATCAACAACCATAGACAGGCTTTGCTGGTTGAGTGGCAGGCAATTCTGAATCACTTCATTTAGACGTTACGTTCACTCCATGAGGAGGAGAATTTTGGCTTGCATAAATCGAAATGGTTGGAATACGCGTTATTGACAAATTTAAGTCAATATTTATTTTTTTGCATTAAGCTAGTCGTATCGAAATTTTGTCAAATAAAACATTTTCTTTTGATTTTTGAAATTGACCCGTACGTCTTTTGACATGTCAATAACTTTTCTGTTTATTAGGAACTCCAATAAAATTAATGAAACTTATAGAAATATGTTTAACAAAAATAATGATATCATTATTAACATTTTGTGATTTATATCTTTAAAGTTATATAGGATCAAAATCCGTGTAAAGTTTTCATTGTGGCCGAGTGTAGATAATTCCCTCACACAAAGAATCCAATATGCCTAGCATGATAAAAAGCCTTATGAACAAGAGTCAATTGTGTTGGGTTTTTATTTTCGCTGGATTTTACATCTCACCAATACAGTATAGGCCATTTAGCCACTTTCAACAACCTTAACCACTTAGCCACTGACGCCCCTCAAGGGTCAATTGTATCAAGGTTAGCAGTCTTAACATCTCAGCCACGGACGCCCCTCAAGGGACAATTGAATTGAGGTCAGCAACCTTAACCTTTCAGCCACATATGCCCCTGAAGGGTCAATTGCATCGAGGTCAGCAATCTTAGCTTCTCAGCCACGGACGCCCCTGAAGGGTCAATTGCATCGAGGTCAGCAACCTTAGCTTCTCAGCCACGGACGCCCCTCAAGGGACAATTGCATCGAGGTCAGCAACCTTAGCTTCTCAGCCACGGACGCCCTTCAAGAGTCAATTGCATCGAGGTCAGCAACCTTAACTTCTCGACCTCGGACACCCCACAAGGGTCAATTGAATCAAGGTCAGCAACCTTAACTTCTCGGGCACGGACACCCCTCAAAAGTCAATTGCATATGAGTCAGCAACCTAAGCTTCTCAGCCACGGACGCCCCTCAAGGGACAATTGAATTGAGGTCAGCAACCTTAACCTTTCAGCCACGGATGCCCCTGAAGGGTCAATTGAATCGAGGTCAGCAATCTTAACTTCTAGGCCACAGACACCTCTCAAGGGTCAATTGAATCAAGGTCAGCAACCTTGAAGCTTCGTCCAAGACAAGTTTATTATTTGATGAGTGAAGTTTAATGAACTGTGATTAAACAAGAGGACTCTGTGAAAGTTCATGTATAAGACAATTAGGCTTAAATTTTACACTCGTAGCATAAAAATCAAAAATATGTCAATAGGTGACCGTGAGGGACACATTATACATTTGTGAACGATAATATTTGACAAAATACTTTATAAGTAATATTAATGGCTTTTGATTGAAAATACAAAAGGACACTTAACAATAAAGAACTATCAAACTAAGCAAATAATTTGAGAAACAATAATAAGTAGCAAACAAACATCCTTTTTAAGGTTTGCCTTGTCTATGAGGGTTAAATGTAATGTTTTATGACT